TATTTGATAAGTTGTTCAATTTAGAATTCAAATTAATTTAAGTTTGACTTAAATTTGAATTTGAATTTGAAATAAAATTGGACTGCAGGATAAATGATGATTTTCTCTTCCTTCCCTATCTGATATTGGCGCCACACAGGGATGAGAATCCCCTTAGAATGGCCGGCCATATAGGATAGAGGAAAAGAGGAGATTTTGTTTAAAATTCAAATAGGAGATAATTAACAAGCTTTATCTTAGAGATAGAGATTAGATTCCTTCTAAAAATTTGACTTCTACTCTATAAATACTATTTTTGAGACAATTTTCGGAATGATTTTTTGCCCTAATTTTAGAGGTAGCCGAAATTTCTCTATAGAAATTTTAGAAACAATTTTTCAGCCCTAAGAGTTAAGACTGGCCGAAATTCTCAAGGGAGAGAGGAAGAAAAAAAAATTTTTCTCCAAAAATTCCACATCGTGCATGCGTTGGTGTTTGTGGAAATTCGAGTGTTTATTGTATCCCGTTTTGTCTCATGTGTGCCCACACACAAGTCTTCGTGGATTCTAAGAATTGACGTGAAAGACATTGGTTTTCTAAACATAAAGATTGGAGCAAGGACTGTTCGTGGTCAAAGAACTCAAGTTATCATCCGAGTCGGCTTCCAGGTATTTTTCCTGATTGAGTTCTTGATATATATAAGTTAATGAGATTAATTTATTCGTGTATAAATTAATATAATCTATAGAGTATCTCAAAAGTTTTATGAAAATTTTTGTTATACACGATCCGCCTCTTCTCCGCACCACCGCGCTTCCACATCCGGATTCGATCCGGAGACCAACACAACCATCATGAAGTTCTAGCACATTCTGTAATTAAAAGTAATGTAAAAAAAAGCCCCCCGCAAGAAATAGACAAAAACGACATCAGGCAAGAACTTGACATAAACAAACAATAAAGGACAAAACCATAAATACACATTTAAAAGGTTAAAAACAGAAGTTTACTATTACAGTGAACAGTAACTCCGAAGAGTCTCCTTTAGAATATTTAAAATAATAGATATATCACCATAAAAGAAATTCCTTGTTCAACATCATCAACAACGGGAAAGGACAGATTGCAAGGAATAAAACATTAGTTCCAATATATGGTCCGTTGATAGATCTAGTACCCTAAGAAATAAATACATTCCATCTGTTTTAGACATTTGAGGATAATAAAATATAATATTGCACTTATTTCATGTATCAATATGAATTTTATTTGCTTCTTTATTGTTAATTGTATGAGAAGCAAACCAAAGAGTCAAAACTATTGATACTACAAGAAAAAGTGTTTTTAGGGATGACATTTTCATAGGCAAATCTAACTTCGTCTTTAAAAGCATGCTTTAGAGACTAAATAAGGGTTGTTGCTAAAGTTGTCTCTTTTGAATTTTTGTGATGCACATTTTGTTCGCTGATTTGAATTTTTAATTTGAGTTGAAATGTAACTTTATGTGAGAGTTTTAAAATGTAATTTTATATGATAACTTTTTATTGTAGTAAAAAATTAAATGTGACTGTTTTTTAGAACTTTTTACTCTAACAAAATTTAAATTTTAAACTCAAATCAGTAAAATAAACAATACCTAAATAAAATATTGAGACAAAATATTAACTTAGGGGTTGTTTGGTTGAAAGATTCGTACCCCGATTCGAATCATGATTCATGGTTCGTTACAGTATTTTCTCTCATAAAAAATACACGTAAATAGAAAATAATTCTAATCTTATAATTCTAATCCATGAACCAAACGTCTCCTTAATCTCATATAGATTTAAATGCAAATTTCCATCAAAAAAAATAATTTGGTTGGAGCTTTTTAAAATAGCTTTTTTGCACGGAACACCTTTAACTTTTTGTGATTGATAATTTAGTCCTTAAACTTTTTTTTTACAATCGGCTTCTTAACGTTTGAATTCTTTGCAATTGAAGTTCAATTAATAACGGCCACTAAGGCCTCGTTCATTTCACCGATTTGAATTTTCAGTTTTAGACTCGTTTGGTTCATGGATTAGAACCATGAGATTAGAACCATTTTTTATTTACGTGTGTTTTTTATTAGAGAAAATACTGTAGAAAACTATGAACCATGATTCGAATCAGAGAACGAATCCTCCAACCAAACGGGCTATTAAATTTCTACAGTTAAAAACTCTCCGAAAATGTCACATCTAACTTTTTCTGCTACAATGAAAAGTTCTCAGAAAATGTCACATTTCAACTCGAATTAAAAATTTAAATCTGCGAAGTGAACAAGACCTAAATGTTATACGGATTTAATCACGTGACAAGCACGTGACTTTTCTTAGGGGCATTAGAAAAAGAAAAATACCCAGAAACTTTTGGGTTCTCTCTTTCTCTCTGCAAGTTTGCAACACTACCAACGCTAGATTGTTTTCATCTAAAGAAGGGAAAATTGTATCCAAAGAGAGGATCCTAAGTAAGTATATCACTCGGAAAAATTGAATTGAATTCCTGAACAACACATACAACACAAATCAGAGTTCAAATCGCGATTTACATTTGTTACTTCTGCAGATCCCTCAACGCCATTGTGGTTTCCATCTTCTCAAATGCCTAAAAACCAGGAATTGAATCTGAATCTCTCAGTTTCCCATACCTCTATATCAAAACTTTTCTCCTGAAATACCCACAAAGGGGGAAAAAAATCTTCCAAAATTAGTTTTGTCCCAATGTTTTCAAATATTCAATAAATCCTAAAATCAATCAAAATATTGACAAAGAAAAAATCAATCAAAATTAGTTTCTTCCCGAAATTTCTAAAAAGTCAAAAAATCCTCAAATAAATCCTCAACATAGAGACGAATTATATGCAATTTTAGGATAAAGTGTACAAAATTAAGAACAGATCCGAATGTACCGCTAACAACCCAAAAAAAAAACACAAATTATACCGTGGGAGAGAGATCGAGGCCCATGATGCGGTCGTGGGGCTGGAGGACAGCGGTGTAGGCGGCGAAGTTGGCGGGGGAGCCGGACTAGGGCCGGACGTTGACTCCCCACTTGGTGGGGTCCAGAAGGTAGGCCTGGAGGGCGCGTGAGCGCGTGAGGTTCTCGGAAGACTTGTTGGTGAGTGGGCTGCCAAGGGCCTCCATGACGGCGAAGGAGATCAAGTTTTCCGACGCAATCAGCTTGATCCCCCGGCATTGCCGCCGCTTCTCCTTCTCGATGAGTTCGTGGATCTCGGGTTCCACGACATCCAGAGGGGTGTTGCCCCAAGTGGAGACAGGATCCATTGTTGGGGGAAGAGAGAGAAAGGGGTTGGTGGTGTTGCAGAGAGAGAGAGAGGGGAGAAGAACCCAGAAGTTTCTGGGTTTTATTTTATTTATTTTTTTCTTTTCTAAAACAGGGTTTGTTTCTTCTAAAATGACCATCCAACGCCCCTAAGAAAAGTGACGTGCTTGTCACGTGATTAATTCCGTAAAACATTTGTTTTAACGGCCGTTTTTAATTGGATTTCAATTGCAAAACATTTCAAACGTTAAGGAACCATTTGTTAAAAAAAAATTATCACCTTACAACGACAGTTTCAATGGACGTTCTCTAATTTTGTATATAAGCCCGGAATCTAGATTGGCCCTAAAATCATTTGTTCTGTTATGTTGTTCTTTTAACGACAGTTTCATTTGTTTGTTGATAAGTTATCAATTGAAAACTGTAGTTACAAAAGTGTGCTTTGGACATAATTGAACTAAAAATTATCTAAGGTGATAGTTTCTAATTAAAATATTTTGAATACAAATTATGGAAATATTTAACTAAAGTTTAAATAATTTATGATTCATTCAATTATAAGCAGTGTTTAAAGTATACTTTTATCTACTTATCACATGCGTTCAGATAAAACAATATCTCTTACCAACATTTTTTTTTTTGAATTTATTACAATAAAATAGAATTTTTCTAGTAAGTTTGATCTATCGGTAGTCTCCTCTTTTGACAGTTAAATCAGGTTAAATCACATTAGATTAAAAAAATATACATATCATATAATTTTAAATATAAATCTGATGGTTGAAAATAAAAAATAAAAACTATTAGTAGTATTTTTTTTTTTTTTTTGTCGTACTAAAATATCTCCCTAATAAAAAATACCAATCTAGTTGGGAGTCAAAGTGCATATTTGGAGTGTAAGGGCTGTTAAGCTCCATTTTGTGCAGCAAAAATTCGGAGGACATTCTTAAAGTGAAGCCAGTACTTACGACCCAGCAAAGTGATCGGAGGAGTGCATTATTGTTGAGGATAGGTTGATCATGTATGCAAAATAGGTGGGTCATTTATGAGGTTTCTGATCAACAGCATCTTCTTGGGGGCTTCCATGTGATGATGTCTATTAATCAGGGACATCAATGGTTGATTGGTTGCTTTGGGTGATTTTGAGGGGCCTCTGAGTTCAACCAGCTGAAACCTCATTTATGGCTATAGATCAGGCCGACCCACATCAAAGAACCAAACATTGACAATACATACATCATTAAATGTGTCAAACCTTTTTGCAATGGTCTCTAACTCTAACTCTAAGGACGTTTGTAGGAAACTTTGTGCAACTCCACATAATTTGTCTAACGAATATGTAGGAAAAAAATATTCTTCACTAAAAAAAACAAAGAGAGGCTAAGTGATATGAGAATATATTAACCATTTCTTGATTTGTGGATGTCATCTTTGTGCATGGTCATATTAATCTTCTCCGTATCGTTCTAATTTTATGGAATGTCCTCGAAAGGACAAGAAGAAACTAAAAATTAGTAAATTAGTCAGCATTTGGTACTCTCTTCATAGTGACATTCATATATAAGAAGATGGAATCCATTCTCGGCACTTTAAAATCAACACTAAAAGTTAAGTTGTTTCATATATTATTAATTGACAGTTTGGGGTACGAGATACTCACGTGACTTAATTTGGAAAATGACGAGTTTTATTTTTTATGTGCGAATCTCATATCTCAAAGCGTCAATTTGATAACGCACATTAGTCATTAGACCTCAATTGATATTGATTTTAAAGTTCATAGTATAATTTATTAAAATTAAAAGTTTATGGTGTATTATGTAAAAATAAAAAAATTAAGGTGTAAAAGTACAATTTACTCTTAAAAAAAAAATTCTTCTCAAGGCAAAAGCAAAAAAGAAAGAAACAAACACGAATGCTATAAGTTCATTCTATTCAGGCAAAAGAAAAACACGCACATAACTATGTTTCTTCAGAATTAATAGATTGATTTATTTTGTCAGTCGCATCCACATCTTCACTGACTAGCTAGATAAACAGATTTTTTTTTTTTTTTGGTTACAAAGGAAGAGTGGAACTCAGCATCTTGTTTTTATTCCTTTTTTTATTATAAAATTAACCTTATAAATAGTCCCATTTTGTTCATTTTAAAAATATGCCTTATACCAAATAAATGAATGGGTGGAACTAATGGAAAAAAAAAAAATTTGATATGTATGTGTTCTTTGTAACATTCTCTCTGTTTTTGTTTCTATCCAGAAATTGAAATTATTAACAAATCGTCATCAAATGAACTTTTCAATTATTTTTCTCTTAATTTTTCTACATCAAAAAACGTAATATTTTATGTTATATTTTATTTCTCCATTTTTTTCCCCCAATTTCCTTCTCGCAAACATGATGATAGTGTTAACTGCTTATTAACAGTCAACTAAGACTTTTATTACGAAATAAATTAAAAATAACAATAACATAATAATTAAAACTTTCACATGCATATTAAATTTACAGAATTACACCCACGTGGGTAGCACGGGGCACTAACTGATAGTAGAAAATAAAGAAGAGTAGTAGAGTTTTCATAAGAGAGTAAAAGATGAGAAATGCAATTTATTTGTCCCTTGTTGTAAAAATGGTGGTCAGTAAAAAAAATCGCCCCTCGGGTCCATTCTGATTGATCTACATCATCAATTAATTAGTATTCAGAATATTCAGCGATTTTTTAATAAAAAATAAAATTAATAAAACAAATCTAAAAAACTTAAGATTGCAAAAAAATAGATGTACCAAATTATAATAATTGTTTTCTATAAAATAATATAGATGTTTAAATGAGTAAAGAATATTAACAATTTAAGTCGGCAGCCAGTAACTTTATCTGTATGTTCATGTTATATGTTCATACATGTGTGTAACACTCAATTTACTTAAATATAACATGTAATTTTATAACATAATGTGACGAAATGGATAAAATTATATTTATTAAACTGTACGGCTGCCGGACTTAAGACTCTGTCAATATTCTTTAATCATTTAAACATTTATATTATTTTACTAGAAAAAAGTTATATTGATTTGCTACATCTATTTTTTCGAATCTTAATTTTTTAGATGTGCTTTATTAAAATTATTTTTTCCCTCCAATTTTCCCTACTCGAAAAACTCTCACATGACCTTCAATAAAAAAATAAAATAAAATAAAAAAACTCTCACATGTATGCCTCATGTTTACTATTTTTCTTACAATCTAAATTTTTTTTTTCCAAGTGTGATTCTTATATAATACAATTACCTTGCTTAAACACATCCTCGTTCTACATAATTTTCTCTTTAATTCACCTCCACTAAAATATAGCTTTTTTATATAAAAGAAAATTCCCTTTTTTTCCTCATTTCTCTTGACTTTCTATGTTGTCATTTTGTTTTGTGGCTTTTCTTTTTCATTTTTACTTTTGCTTTTCTAACATAAACAAGCATTTCAACTCTTTTTATACTTTTCTCTTACATTTTTATTCTTAAAATCTAAAAATTTTAAATACGTTTGATTGAAATACTCTTTTATTCTAAGGTGTCCTTGCTGAAGTATTTTTTTTCTTCAACGTGTCCCCATTTAAGTATTTATTTGGGAGAAAGAGGAAAATAGGCTAAGATTTGAGATGAATTAAAATTAATATGCCAATAGTTTATATAAGTTAATAAATAAACCAAATTACTATTTTTGTCCATAACTTGTTTGGTTATGAACCATAACTTAACAAGTTATTGTCCATAATTCACGATTTTTGTCCATAACTTGTATGGCTATTAACCATAACTTGACAAGTTTGTCCATAACTTATCTGGTTATAAACCATAACTTGACAAGTTATGGCCTATTAATTTCTATAACTAAAAATTGGCCTATATACTTTCTTAAGCTTTTCATATTGGTCTATTTCCTACTATTTTCGTATTTATATTTTCGGGTGAAAGAGGGAAATAGGCCCATTTTAAGAATGGAGTAAAAATTGATAAGCTAAGTTTGAAAATAGTTAGTAAATAGACCAACTCAGTGTAAATCCTCAATTAAAAATCCAAAAATACCCCTAAATTAAAATGAAAATTATGAATTCAAATATCCAAAAATTCTTCCGTAAAAAAAAAATCCAAATTCTTTCATGATTGTCGCTCTCTCCTTCTCTCTATTGTCGTCGACTGCAAATCGGCTCTGACGCATACGTTTGCAAGATCCGTCGTCCTCTTGGCTCTAGCAATCTCTCCTCCATGCAGTTTTGCGAGCAACGAAGCTCGCCATCTCTTATGTGCGATTGGCTTCACGATCTCCGGTGGCTTCGTGGGACTAGATCTCCAGCGAGATTCGACATCTCCAACGGACTAGAGAAAGAGAGAGAGAGAGACGTTGAGGAGCCGTTTCCAATCTACAATCTCGATTCCATAGGGAGGAGAGAGATAGGCAAAGAAAGAGAGGGGAGGAACGTCGAATCTCGTACTCGTGCGGCTGTGGCTTTCACACTGTGACATAGACTATAGCATATAGAAAATTTAACACGACAAATAGCATTGCATTAAAAAGTATTTTTTACACTCAAATGTTAAATTTACAATTAACAAATTAATTATAACATTGCATTGGACATGCTCTAAGAGAAAGAGAGAGACGTCAAAAGAGAAGGAGAGAGGAAGAGAGAGAAAGGTAGTTTAAGGAATATGGGTAAAAAAATAAAATGAATCCTTTTAAAACTAAATATGGCCTACTAATTTATAATCTTTAGTAAATAGGTTATTTACTTTATCATGTTATAAAAACATGCATATTTACTACAATTTCTCTTTATTTTCCTTATAAGCCTATTAGAGTTGTAATTTTGTGCGGGCTAAATGGGTCAGCTTGAGGCCCATCACTATTGGCCCAACTCAGGTCAAGGTTTCGAACTTAAAAATCTATTCAGGCTGGCCCAGCTCAGCCCAAACATTCTCTTTAATTTTTTTTAAAAAAATACTTTATAAAATTTCGGACTAATCCTAAAGCTTTTGAACTTTACGACTGAGTTTGACTGTTCTTCTCTCATCTAGAACTGATCCGGCCCGGTCTAAAATTTCCATTCAACGACACAGAGCTCATGATCTTCCACAACCACATAGAGATCAGGATTCTCCACAGGATGAACTAGTAGATCTAGTTCAGAGAGGTGAACGAGAACATCAGCTGAGGGACAAAAAGGAACCAATAGCTAAAAACCATTACTAAGCCCCTTGCTAATGTCGTCTAACTTCCTTCTCTTTTGTATTAGATAGGCTTGAGGGCTCTACTCAACAGAGGGCACAAGATAGGCCCAAACTTTCACCTCAGAAGCCTATAAAATATTGTTTTAGCATATATCACCTTCATGATGCTAAAAAGTTTTATCTATTTATGATCTTACATTTAGGGTCGGCAATTTCGGACACGACACGATGAAACGATACGAAAACGACACGAGATAAATGAGTTTAGACCGCACGATTATTAATTGGGTCGTTAACGGGCTGGCACGAATAACACGAAAATAAATGGGTTGGATTCGTGTCAGCCCGTTTAACACGCTTAACCCGTTTAGTTATACGGGCCATAATCGGGCCGACACGACACGACACGAACCGACCCGTTTATTAATCTATATATATATATTTATTTTTTTTAAGATAAAACCCTAGCTTCTCTAATTCTCTTTCTCTCATTCTCTCATTCTCTCTCATTCTATCACAGCCCGTTTTATTTATATTCTCTCATTTGCATGAAGGGTGTTTGATAAAAGGGGTTAACTTAATTTAACACTCTAACTTTTAAATAAGTTATGGTATGTTGATAAAATTATAAAATGCCAATGGACTTGTAGATGGACTTGTAGATGGTTGATTACAAAATGCCAATGGATGATTTGTAATTGATAAACCTAAACTTTAAATATGTTTTATGCTTTATGCACTTAAATATGCCAATGGACTTGTAGATGGTTGATTATGTTTATGCACTTAAATTTTCAAATATTTGGTTATGTTTTCAAACTTATTTAAATGTACTTGGTTATGTTTTCAAACTTCTTTAGATGTTTAGTAATTGGTATGTTTTGAAACATATATCATAAGTGATGTTTTAGATATTTTAATGTGTGTTGGCTATTATGCATGATTTTAACTATAAGTGATATTAAGTAGTCAATTAATATAGTTTTGAATACAATATAAAATTCACTATTTTTGCTAGTTGGGTCATAAACGGGTCATAAACGTGCTTTTTTCGTGTCGGCCCGTCACGGCACATTTAATAATCGTGTTCGCGTGTCGTGTCGTGTTAACCGTGTTATTAGCGTGTCGTGTTCGTGTTTGGGTTTCTGACACGTTTATTAATCGTGTCGTGTTCGTGCTCACTATAATCGTGTCGTGCCGTAATCGTGTCGGCCCGAACACGGCCCGCGAATACGAATTGCCAGCCATACTTACATTAACATCGATTTCTTTTTTATATGTGCCACTAATCAATTTTCTATTTGATTTCTCGCGACAAAATATTTTTGTTCTTGAAATGTATGATACTTATTCATGCATATATAATATTTGGGAGAAACACGCATTTTGATTGAAATATGCATTTCATTACATCTAATTTTGGTTTTTTTTTTTTCCGAAAAATCTTAAATATAGATCAATTTTCTAATATGCCTTATTGAAATAACATTTCTCAAATGTGCCCCCTACTTAAATTACTTAAAATATTTTATCTTGCAGCCCACTCAAATACTTTTTTTCTCACACATCCTTAAGAAATTTTCTATCTAATTTACTTCCACTATGTGCGTGCGTGTATTTTATCTAAAACACTCTAATTGAAAAGATGGAAAATCGTCAAAATAACGTTTGTGTTTCTCCAAAAATCTTTCATTGTTCTCACTAATCATATAAATATAAAAGGTATTTCCCAAAATTTTGAAGAGACTAAAAAAATATACCCCTTTTCGGATCATATTTTAAAAATATAAATATTTCTCTTACTAATCTCTATATCGAATATTACATTAAACATTACTTAACTAAAAGTTAAATGAAATGAACATTATATTTGGAATTTTGAACTTTTATGTTTTTTTTTTTATATTTTTTGAGTTTGGTTAGATATTTTTTTTTTTAATGTGATACGGAGTTACACCTTTACTATATAACTTGAGCATAGTTTTTAAATTTTCAACTCAAACTCGCGAAAAGAACATACTAGTGTTCTTTGAAATCCAGCCAAGATGTCGGGATCATAAATTAAGACCCCGTTCATTTCGCTGATTCGAGTTTAGAATTCGAGTTTTTCTACAGTAAAAAGCTCTCACAAACAATCACATTCAACTTTTTTGCTACAGTAAAAAGCTCTCACATAAAATCACATCTCAACTCGAATCAGCGAAGTAAATGAGGCCTTAATAATATTGTCTTGTTCTTGATAGTCTTCAAACATATTAACCACATCACAAGTACATACAGTGATATAACTCCAGGGTTCTTGTAAAACTCAGACAATTTCCTTCCTGATTATAATTATTTTCCGGAGGCTGGTCTTTCCCTTTCTAAAGAAGGCAGGGCTTGAACTTCTTTGAAGAAATAAACTCCCCCTATAAATTACATAGAAAGTTGTGAGGTCTACACAGAACTGAATATTAAAGTCCTTGTCCAATTACAACTGATCTAGAACTAATATTACTGCTCTTTATGAGTTTGATCTATAAAAATGCCGTACTAACACTGCTGCAATTGTTACATGCTCTTAAGCAGCTCTCCTACAACTATTATAATTAAATGTTAAAAGAGTTTCTGAGTTCCTTGTGTATATTATTAACTTAAAAAACTGTCAAATACAATTACAGTGAAACTTTATTCAATTATTCCTGGGGCCTTTCTTCTTCATACGGCTCAACTTTGACGTGCGGACATGGCCTTTCCGGTTCTCCTCTTATCCACAGAATTTTAAGATCGCCTCTCTTCTTTCCCAGAGTCAAAAAGGGACCTACAATCAGGATAGGACAATTACAGTAACACAAAATTGGAGAATGTAAACTATCTCACTGTTGAATGTACATATTGCAAATGAATGAAAAACTATATGTCCAAAAACTCCTCGACCGCACTTAGCGGCCTCGAGTCTGAGACTCAGCCCATTTGACCCGGATAGTCCGCATTTTATTGTTTGAATGTGCCATGTGTGCGCACGAATATAGATGAGTCCAACTTATTGCGACTTACCTAGTGTAAATGGAACTATATACAGCAAAGCTGGTTGACCATGCCCATCCATCAAGTTCAAAGCCACATATGTGATGAGGAGACCTGAAATCCAGTATTTCAAAGAACCAAAAATGGGTGAGAATGTGGCAACTAATGCCATCTACAAAATGGAAAAAGTGTTGCTATTGATAGCTCAGTAACATTCCATACCTAATCCATAAGCACTCATTGCCCATACAAAGTAACCGGCTCGAAGCTTCTTGTTAGCCAACCAGTCAAACCTATGAAAGATGCAGAGTTTCAGATTTATGTATTTGTACAGACGCCGCCAAATGTAATCAACTATTTATTGCAACTTGTAATGTAAGCAAGAAGGCATTGAAAGCAAGATCGAGGAAATCGCCTAGATCATACATATTCCAGGTAAGTGTCGTTAGTTGTGAGTCGAGTGGTTTTTCTAAAGAGCAGAACAACTCCGTTAGTATCGTCAGAAACATGGGTCATGTTTTCAACTCGAGGATCATAATGAATGCTAGAATAGAAATATTTCACTAGCATACAGGTATGACAGAGCAGCAAATAAACTGCAAAAACTCAATTCAATTTTAGGGAACTCCAGACAGATGGAAAGAATTGTCATAACTCATAAGGTTCTAAATCAAACCTCAGTGAAAATGCCACTACCAATCCGGGCAGAATAATGTCGCCAAATCCAATGATACTGTAGCCACCCCAAGGATCAAACATCCGCGGGATTTTTAGTAGCATCGGGATACCATCCTCTCCACTCTTATCACCACGAGCTACCTGCACAAAAGGAATATTAACATTTTAGTTTCCATTAGTACAAAAGTGAAGCAAATATCAGCCCTGAGAGTTACAGCAAGTGAAAGAAATTTTTTTTCTAATTTACTCACCACTATCATCACGCTCTCATGGAACCACCACTTCGAAACGAATACCCAGAAGATGTCATACATGAACGCACAACTGAGAAGAACTGTTCCAACCTGATTGCATTAACATTAACAAGAAAGACGAGGTAGACTTTCAGTATCTAATAAAGTGATCTCTAAAAAGGCCATTAAGAATGAAAAATAGTTTCTTCATCACCTCCAAGTACTTTTATTTAAGAGGATCCAACAGCGTCAGTTTTCAGACCCGCAGACAGAAATTCTTTTTCCTACACTAACAAGTAAAGGGAAAGTCGAAACAACTAAATAAGCTTCAATTCTCACCTTTAGATTTGGTATGCGGACAATCTGAAGAACTGTAATTATCAGCGCAATACCCTGGGAAGATGAGAAACATTATATTAGTTGGCTTCTCCAATTATCTGTAAAATAAAATATCATGGTAAAATGAAAAATAATCATATGGTTATACACACACACACACACACACAGATATATATATATATATATATATTTTTTTTTTTTTTTTTTTATGAGAGACGAAAATTTTATTAATGATGAAAAAAGAAGACCAGAGGACAAGGGGTCCTATCATATGGTTATATTTAGTGCTCACGTGAAACGAATGAGCTACAAAATAAATACTGGAAAAATAACGTGGGCTGTTGCATAGTCCCCAAATACAACATATTTGACACATACTCAATTTAGCTAATTAGCTTGACATCTAACTCCGAAGAGAGACGTCAAACCAGAAATAAAAAAACATGTAGAATTACAAACATATTATTCCATAGGAAAAGGATTCCTTTCTCAATAATATTAAAAGTACAGTGCTAACAAAGAAAGAAGCGGCAATAAAATTGCAATTGATTGGGTAGGATGTGAAACATTCAAGTCAAATATATACATATACATATAAATATACACGTATATATATATGGGTGTGGTATTAATGGTTACTTCAATATTTACTCATCAATAGGTATCATTGTTTTCTCCGTAAGATATTAATCCGACGATTGTAATAAATTGGATAGTTAACCAAAAAAATTTATGCAATTAATGAGACTTGATTCTTATCACGTCATATCATCAAATTACGATATTTAATAGTAACCACTGATGGAAACGTAACCATTGAAAACTATCTATCTATCTATCTATCTATCTATCTATATATATAAGAGAAGTACAAGAAAATTAAAACTTGAAGATGACACTTCTTTTTGTTCCTTACTAAGATATCTTGACCAATCCAAGCAAAAGAGACACGCCGATTAGCTGCCCAAATAGCAGCAAGTACAATGCAGAAGGGAGAAACAGCTAGTGTCAGATACGAAACAGCTCCAAGGATTGGCACTTTAACATATGATTCTCTGGCATGTTTAAACCATCTGAAACTATTTTTGCTTAGTCATCAGTTTCACATTTTTAAAACCATGGGGAGAAATTATAAAAGAAAAAGTACAGAACCAATAATGAAACAAAAAGATCTCAGCAATTTTCTTTTTCATTCCTTTTAACAAATGCACTTAATTCTGCACAATCAAAACGTGTAATGTCCGAAAAGGCTTAATATTTGGTTCATGTCATTCAACATATATGCCATATATAAAATCATGGTCAAATAAATTAACTTATCAATTAACTAAACATTTGATTTTCAATTATTAAGCCACCTCGGAGATAGAAACCCCATATTCAGAAAAAAGAAAGGATGGAAGAAAATAGAAACCTGAAAACCCAAATCTCAAAACCAAAATTAGTTCATATCTAACAGTTACTTTTATCCTATAATGAAAGTGATTCCCCATCAGTTTCCCATAAGCAGGCTATAGTTCTCAATCCACCATTAACAGGGTTGATCATATGAAAGGCAAGAAACCATGAAATAAAATATAGCTGTGGGTGGGGGGGGGGGCAATCAAGTTCTTAAGAGCTAACAATGAATAAATAAATTGTGAATGAAATAGTACTCCAAACATGTACAAAAAAAGATAAAAAAATATAAAGACAGAAAAGGTGGTTTTGAACATATACCATGACAGCAAAGCGACCAAACAAGTTTGCAGGCCCTGTTAGAAAGAGAAATTTTAGGATCAGCGCCCATCTCAAAGGAATCTTTGAAATATGGTTCAAAATAATTTCAATAAAACTCATTCCCCAGTATTACTTTATTCCAATGTTCAAGCATATTTACGCAAACAATTATAAAATGTTAAATGCGCCTAAAAACTTCACCTAGGCTCAAATAAATCAAAAATAAGACCTGATTTCACTCAGTTCAGAGTCTAAAACAAACGGGATATTGTGCACAATTAGGGCAACAATTGTCTACTGAGCACCTTCAGCCACTTAGTGAAACCAAAACATTGCAACTTGGAGCCAATCAAGATTATATTGTCACAATTTAGCATGCAAATAACAAGGGTAAAGATAGGTAGCATTCTTGGGAAAGACGGGTTAGAAAAGTCTTTGTTCTTAACCCTTTTTTTACTCCCTAATGGAAAAGATCTCTTGCAGTTAAATTGAAGGATAGATGGTAATATGTATGATATATGTTATATGGGCACATACATAATGAACCTATGTACGTATTTGTCTATCTGTGCGTAACATGGAAGATGGCCGCACCTCTACTCCGCCAATGCAAAACAGGACCACCAGAACCTCCAAAAACCAGGATGACATAAGTTTGTACAGCATCACCAAGAAACAAGAAGCAATCACAACAAAGAGAACTGCTGCAGTGGTATTAATGTCCACATAACCAGAAGACTCTGAACCTTCTGCGTTTAGTGTTTCCTCTGAAGCATCCTGCAAGCACATCCATATACAATTTGAAGGAATCAGAGAATTGCTTGGAAAGGAAACAAATTCAAAAGCAGAAATCCTCCCAAAATTTTACATGAATGTAGCTGTTAAGAGGCACGCGTAACCTTTAATAGTTTGTCCTGCTCAAGGGCAGCTTCTCTTGTTGTCCATGCAGACCAATAAGACGCACATAAGATGGTACCAACAGCCATAAGCCATAAAAATACTTCAGCAATGTCAACTAGCGGACGCAGTGGAGAGTATAGCTGCACAGACACTGAAGAAAGGGGATGGGTTGTTCAGGCCAAAAATTAAAAAAAGGGAGTACACACTTAGATAAAGTACCAGGTATTCCTATTCAAGAATAATATTTATAAATTGATGTTTTCCAATTCCAGACACTGGAGAGGCAAAGTCAAATATAAACAGAAGAGGGGAAGCATACCTCTAAAGTTATTCTTAAGATCATCTTCCAATATCGTACCAGCATCCTGAGGGAGCATTACAGCAGGTATGCTGATATTTAAATCAGTTTCTTTATCTTCACAAACCATCTTGAAAAGTTCTGCAGAAGGGAAAACAGCAATGTTTGTAATGAAAGTGCATTTTAGCATCATACGAGTAATTATGCTAGTTATGATTAGACCAAAGACTACAACTATAAGTTCTCTTTCTCCTATCTCCGAACTTGTAGTGATGATCCTCGTCCAATAAAACAATACATTTTTTAGTATTTATTTCCTCCTGGGAACATACCTTATTAATCTTAGAACAGTATTATCTTTAATTCAAACTTAAAATATGTAAAGATTCAGATGCAATGTGTTAATAGCACTACACAATCAACGTGATTTTTACTGAGAAGAAAAGCATTACATGCAAATACCTGTTTCATAGTTTATAATTAGGACGGCTGAAGCATTAGCAGTTTCAGCTATATTTGCCTTTGTTGTGAAACTGCAGTTTCCTCGATGTACCAGGACAATCTCCCCTGAAAGCTACCAAAAGGCCAGGACTCCAGATTATGAATAATACAATGAAGGAATAATCTTGCACTTCTACCATGTTAGAGAAAATTGTATGTTGAATTAGGATTATAAATTTGGAGTAAGAATACATTCTTCTTTGGCGGACTGCAATAATCAGGAGGATCTGCCAGAATGACTCTTGTGTGGTTAGCACGTCTTTCCTTTGACTCCAAGGTAGGTCCAAAACGAGCACCAACACCAACATATTCACTGGTTTCTAGGCCATTAACCCAAGTAGGGACCTTTACCTGTAAGATCAAACTGGATTTATATTCAACACCAAATCCATTAAAGTTAAATGCAAAAGGAAAGAATTAAAACAAGCAAAATGCCGTGTATGCCTTAAAAACTTGTTTTCAGTTTAGTGTCTAGTAGTGAGATTAAGTTTTAGGATTATACTCTTTCTTGACTTTTTGCTTCTTCTTCTTCTGTTGATCTTCTTATAACAGCCAAAGAGTTTGAAGTTCATACTCAAGCTTTTAACCAAAATTACTTTCCATGAAAAATGGTATTGGAAGTTTAGTCCTATTTTGTACGGAGTTGCAAATTGGAAGTCTCAAACAAATACAACTTAGCATTTGTTTTTTGTTACAGTGTTTTCTCTCACAATAATTTCAATATTTGAACTTTTGTTTAAACCTATGAGCCAAACGTGACATCAGTCTTGGTTCTCTTTTCTTTGAGAATAAAAAATAAATATTAAAGATCTATACTATTGAACCATCTGCTGTCTAAAAGATGATCCGTCAATGTAAAAGGCAATGAGAAGTTAGAACCACAAACATTTTACACACTAAAAAAAAAAAAGAAAAAAAATTAATATAGAAAATCGTAAACTGTGTAATTGAATAACGAATTGAATCCATCCGAGCAACTTAAGGTTTTTACTTTAACCAAAATAAACACAGGTGTCTAAGTCTTTCTTTATTTATTTATTTATTTATTTATTTATTTTTGTCTTAGTTAACTTCAGACAAGTCAGTTACAACTATGATGCCAAGACAAGAATAACAACCCTAAATCTAAAATCCATATGGAAAGAAGGTTATATGAACTTAAAACATGGCTAATGAAAATTTGTAGTCAGAGAGTAACAAGTGTAAAGTTGCAAGAAGGAAATTAGGACCAATATAAAATAAATTCAGAAGAACAAAAATGTCAGTCGTCAAATAGTCAAATTGTTGAGAATGAAGGTCTCGTAAAATTGCTTATAGAAACAGCTGACTTTTTTTTTTTGAATTTTCTAAGAAGTGCAGAACATCGTCTTTGAACCTGAAGAATAGAGGAAGACCGTACATACCGGAATTACGGTCCAAGGCTGATAAAGACTCTGATTTCAAATGAATGCAAAAGCATTTCTAACAAAAATAAACAAATGAATTCTTACCTCAGATTCTCATTATTTACTTCCCAAGAAACGGATGAGCATAAAACAACTGTTCCAGTAGCGTACTCAAATCCAAATTTCTAATTTGAAATGCTGTTTTCAGCATAATAATCCAAAAAAATAAAATAAAATAAAATAAACCTTCCTTTCTTTGTCTTTCTTAACCCTTATCTCAAGAAGGAAACATTAATTAATAAATTCGATAGAATAAACGAAAAATAATTCCAAAAAAGAAATCAACTCCAAATTCAATCAATCGTTTCAGCCCCAAAATCCAATATATAGCATCAAACTCTTTCAGAACTATCCTTTTCTCAATTTTCTCAGGCAGCCCGTAAAAATTAATATCTCAATTCCACAAATTTATGCTTATTTATCTACAAGTACCCGAGAAACAGTGCGCAATGCTTAATTCAAAGAGGAATTCAACCAAAAAAATAATAATATATTTCCTTTCTCCTTTCTCCCATTTTCTAAGCTAACAAACAAAAAGTCTTACTAAAAAAATTCTTAAAAAAATCGGAACTTGGGGATTCATACCAGAACGAAGTTGTTATCACAGCCAGGTCTTTTCGGGGCAATATTATCATGGTGAACTATGTCTCCAGCTGAACCAAGCTTCAAGCTTACCGCCATAACCAGAAGCACAACGATTACACTTCTCTGTAAATCCATTTTTCCCAACTAAATACCCCCAAAAAAATCTCACGAATGCGAAATTAAATACAAAATTATATCAGAGTGACCGAGAAAGGAAAAAAAATAAAGAAAATTTAGGGTTTCAGAAAAAAAAAAAGAAAAGAAAAGGAAAGAGAGAGCTGAAGAAGACGATGCAAAAAATGTGAGAGAGAGAGAGAGAAAGAGAGAGAGAGGGAGAGGAGAGAGAGAAATATCGTTGGGTGGTCATGTAATGTATGAATGTGAGTGGGGATTGCGTTTTGCTTTTTCCGGTTTGTCGTTTTTGGACGTGGGAAAGAAGACCGTGTGTTGTCGTCGTTGCGATACCGTTGAACTGGTTTTTTTTTTTTTGCTTTTCTAGCCTTCGTGTGAGAACTGAGAAGGAAGGGATGGGGTGCACTTGCCTACTGCTTCTGTAAGCGCGTGCGTACACGGTCCAATTGGAGTAGAGTTGTAAGAGTGCCGGAGTGAATCTTTTGACTTCCTCGAAAACTTAACAACCTAATTTTGTAGTAACCCTTTCGTACGTTAATATATTAATAATTTAAGTTTTTTACTCGTTAAATTTATGTTATTATTTTTAAATTAATTTATATATCATTATTTTAAATGATTTGTGCGTTTAAAAATTAGTATAAATTATAAGTAAAGAAAACAGTACATTAAAAAAAAAGTGTAACAAAAGGAGTTAACGAAATATAATTAGCCTGTTTAGTTTATTAATTTAAATTTTTAATTCGAATTAAATGTGACTTTATATAAAAACTTTTTATTATTATAAAAAAATTAGATGTTACTATTTTTAAAAATTTTTTATTATAATAAAACTTAAATTTTAAACTAAATCGGTAAAATAAATTAAGTTAAAAAAATGACGGTTGAATCTTTGAAGGAAATAACTATTTCTCAACAGTAATACCAAGTACCGTACCTTTTTTAGTACACTACAGTAATTTCGTTCAATAAAAAAATGGCTTCTACTACTTCAAAAGTAGAAAGCGCGTGGGACCCTCTTTCACTTTTCTTGACAGGCGACCTGCTACTGTCACAAGCGGTTCCAAGCACCGTATAGACCGTACAGATAGGACTGTCTGATAAAATAATTAATCCACTAGGATCCTCTGCTTTATGCCTATCTTATGATGACATATATCCGCATTTTACTGGGCAATGACATTAAAAAGGGTCCAAGATAATTTTAAACCTTTTTGTCCTTAGATCTTTAAATCCAATTGTTTTGATCCACGTGTCATGCATAGAGTTGTTGGACGCGTAGGATTGTAGCACTTTCTTTAAACATACGGCACTAGTGCTGTATTGGTGGGACCGCACCTGGAACGTTCGCTATCCACACATGCCCAATCCTTAATGGTGGAATCACACGTGCGGAGATCCACATGTGCGGGCCCCATCTGGAATGGTCTAATGGGCTCTAAAACCCACATTGGGCCTACGTACATACCAACGTACGACGTGTAATTCTTGTTTATCATTGACTTGAGAAAAAAATAAAAAGAAAAAAATGAAAAAGGGAAATTATTTGTTAGGAAAAGGCTAAAAAAGTGGCCGACAAATTAGTGATGGTTTAAATGCACATTAGACTTGCTTAAGAAAAAAAAAAGATGTTTAGTTCACGCTGTGATGAAGATTAAGGCATCGTTCACTTTATGAATTAAAATTTTTAATTTAATTTGAGATGTGATATTTTTAAAAAATTTTAACTGTAGTAAAAAAAATTAAAGTGACATTTTTTTAGTATTTTTAACTGTAAAAATTTAAAATTAAAAACTTAAATTAGTGAAAAGAATACATGAGATGTTTCCTCTGAAGTAATTAAATATTTCTTAGTCAAAGAAAAAAACTCAAAATGTTTTTATTAATTGTTGGGACTAATTTCCGACCCCATTTTTGTGTTCTTTTATGAAGCCCACTATTTCCACTATCAAAAAAGCAGTCTATATGTATGTGTATATATATATATCATTTCTTTATAGACAAATGTTTAGTCACTTAAAGTGGGGTATATTTTGGTTAGTTTAGCTTCTGAATTTTAACCGACATCTGACCTAGCTAATTTAGCACCTCTCATGTGTTCATAGATACACTAATGGGCAATGGCATCAAATTTTAAATATTGGATCATATATATATATATATATATGCTTCTTTTTGTTTAGCATATGTATTTCTATGTGTATACACAGGTACACATGATCTCTTAGACCACCCAACATGCAATATTTCCCAATAAATAATATCTAATATCTCTTACTAAATATTCAAATCTCAGTTCAAAAAAAAAAATGAGTGAATAGTTTAGATCCTCCTATATTATTGATTTTAGAAACATGTAAATTCTTTGAGCATTATCTTATGAATATTGCCAATAATTACAAAGACACATATAAAAGTCTAAAGGCGAAAACTGTTTCTGATGGGTGGGCGAGCTTTTCCATTTATTTTGGGGTTATGAGTTTCGGATTTTTTTCCTTTAATTAATTAATTTATTTTTTCTTCTTTTTTTTTTGCTGAAGATGAGTTTTTGGACTTGTGCACCTCTTATGGTGCTGTTACCACTTGCTAACGAAGTCTACAGCAACAATCATTGGAATCGGGAAAACAAATAATAATAATAATAATAATAATAAAACAACCGACGTTTTGAGATGGATTAAAAATATAGTAGAGGACGGTAAAAGAAATGATAAACAACGCCAATTATGTTAATGTTGGGATATATGCCCATAAATTAAATAAAATATAAATATTTTATTGATTATCAATAAAATGATGAATTTTTTTAATATTGTTTTGCATACATGTGATGTTTTATAAATATCAAAATTCATTATTTTTAGATGTAACTTTAAACATTATATATAATTGTTATATGCAGAGGATAATGTTTGAAATAAAATAATCTAAACTTGTCTGTAATTATAAATTAAAGTTAGGATCTTTAATTTAAAATTATTAATGCGGCTCATTACATTCTGAATGAAACAATCTTATCCTAGATTGTTAATAATGAGATTATTGGAATGAAAGCATTTTATGTAATATTATTTCATATGACTGGAACGCGATTAATTATGGATCTATAATAAATTTTGTTATTAAATAGAGTATTCAATATTAATCAATGATGGTCATATATGAATTAATCTTAATTCTGAGTAATTAATAAACTCCTATTTATGATATTATGTTCTTTAACATATTGAGTAATGACACATGTGAATAGTATCAAAGTCTTGGTATATTGGGAGCATAGTAAAATAAATAGCCGGGAATATTAATTTACAATATAAAATTCATTCCTTCATAATGAAGTAGATGGACGGTTCTCATAAGTGTTGATTCAGGACTTCAATAATAAGAGCACTCAATTTTATGGTTGGATCATAAAATATATTATTCATTAGAGGATCAATGATACTTATGGAGAAATATATAATTAAAGAGGTTAACGGAAAATACCTAGCTTTAATTATCAACCGTTTATGGAGGATTAATTTGTATGTTGTGACTATATCAATGGCCAACATAAATTCCATGAACATAATTGTTTTATTATTTTAAGAGTCCAATTTCAAATTTATAGTGGAGTAATTTGGAACTAATAATTTTGATATATTAATTAAGGTGTTAATTAATTGTCAAAATTGTTGGAGCTTAAAATTATAATGTACATAGTTCGTCTCAATGGCTCCATAAGATTGATGTGAACTGAATATATCATATTAGGTTATGATTATTTATATAGAATTGAGAATTCTAAATACACATATATTAATTAATTCGATTAATTAATATTAAAATTATTTTAAATTAATATGGATGAATTTAGTCATTTTATAACAGGAGAGAGAGAATTTTCTTTTCTCCACGTTTCTTTTTTTCACCCTCCCCTCCTTAATATATATATATGTGTGTGTGTGTGTGTGTGTGTGTAAAAGAAAGGAAACGTGCAGGTGCACGTTTCCTAAAAACAAAAAAAGGAGAAGTGGGAGGAAACGTGTTGTTGCACGTTTCCTCACCATGAAAAAAAAAAGGGAATGTGCGGCTGCACATTAACTAATAAGAAGAGAAATTAGTTCTCCTAGTTTTTGCCGGACAGAGAGAAACAAAAGATTTTTTCCAAAGAAAAGGAAAAATGAAAAACGGGAGAACAAAAGAAAAACTAAAGAAAATTTCTTGAGTGTCATCACATACTTTTGAGAAAAGTGAGTGATAACTATAGGTGGCTTCCCTATTCATCCATCTCATGTATTGAGAAACTCATTAGAACGCCCACACGTTCGAGTTCACGTTAATCCGGAGATACGTTGAGAAAGAATCGTGGTGTTCTCAGAATTTAAGAGCTTAAGACGGTATTGGAGGAGTTCAAGATTTACGTCCTAATCGAGCGACAGTAAAATTCTCATTCTTCTCTTTAATATCTTTGTAGTTAAATTAACATGAAATAATGTTCGCATTAAATTTTGATTTATGTGATTCGATCGATACCACGCTTCCGCACAATTTTTTTTGAAAATCCGGTTTGAGAAACCAACAATTGGTATCAGAGCGGTCTTTAGTTCATGCTAATTTAACGTTTAATTATGTGATAATTCTTGGATGTATAATGGGCATGCACTTATGCATATGTTGTATAATTATTGTGTGATGGTTATGTTTTATGCGAATGGATTGGTCGTAAATTTTTCCAGTTCCATGGAATTAGTTTTTGCTATTTTATTTTGATTAGATCAATTGTAAAATAGGAATCAATATGTAATTTATTATTCTCCTAACGCAAGAGGATCATCATGGAAGAGTTTCAACTATTTATTTTAGAAAAGTTCCAAACTATTAGAAAAAAGAAAAATTTTTCGGTGACTGTACGGTCACCGGTGACAGTCACCGGCGAAGGGGCGGCTGCCATGGCTGAATGTCGACCATGGCAGGTGACTGCACTTTCAGGTGCAGTCACAGGTGCAAGGCCCCTTATGGTGCAAAGGCCCAAGCCCAATAAGGGCCTGCTCTGCCTCAATAATGATGCAGAGACTAAAGTGATCTGGGCTGGTTTTTCTAGCCGGCCC